GGGGCACGAGGCAGTGGGCACCCCTGGATTGGATGCCAGCCCATCACGGGGCACGAGGCAGTGGGCACCCCTGGATTGGATGCCAGCCCATCACGGGGCACGAGGCAGTGGACACCCTGGATGGGATGGCAGTTCAAAACAGGGCGCAGACTAATAGCGATTTGAGTTGCCAAGTCATCTAAACCTCACGTTATTGGATTCCAAAGTAAACACTAGGAAAATATGCAAACTCTACAGACCAAGAGTGGTAGATATACATGATTCATCAACAGATAAATAAATAATGAGTAACAGACTCCTAAATAGGCTCAAAAGCAACAAACATTTTTAATAAGTAGCATGTAGCAGGACCACGTGTATGACTGATGAGTCCTGCATCTACACAAACTCTCCAGCTCATCCTGAGAGACTGTAGCTTCAGGAAACAGCATCAATTATTAAGCATTACCTAATGATGGCGGCTGGGAAGACCCCACCCTTCAGCAAAATGCATTGGCTGATCACACACGACTCTCAGGCAGTAAACGGCAGCCTCCTCTGGGACTGGCAAGCTAAAAGCCGGCCTGAGCAGGGCTCTTACACATGGACAAAGATAGGGCCACAGTAACCCCACCCACCATGCTGCTGTGGCAGTCTCATGGTGTGCGAGTGTGATGTAACGGCGGCAAAGAGCAAGTGACTGGATTGTTAGCCTTGATACAAAGCACCTGTTCCTGTTTTCAATTCTCTGTTAGGTTTGGTCTCTTTTCCACCTTTGGTGATCCAATCCCAGAGACCAATCAATCTCCTGCATCTGATTCCTTTGCTTTTTCTGGATGTCCATCCAAGGTTTGTGCCGTTTTTCAGATCTTGATGAGACCCCTATTCATTTTGAGAAACCTGCTACCCTAATCAGATCCTGCTCCCTGGGTCCTGCTCCATTTTGTCTAACTGGATTCTATCTAACTGGATCATGAACTTTCTGACCAACAGACCCCAGCATGTTGGGTCAGGCCATAACTGCTCTAACACCATCACACTCAACACTGGCACTGCACAGGGCTGTGTGCTGAGCCCATTCCTCTACTCCCTTTTCTCCTATGTCTGCAGGTCTATGTATGGACCCAACTCAATCAAGTTTGCAGATGACACCACGGTTTTCGGTCTCATCAGTGACAACGATGAGTCTGACTACAGGGAAGAGGTAAAGCACCTAGTTGTATGGTGCGCTGACAGTAACTTGCTCCTGAATACCAGGAAAACCAAGGAGCTCATTGTGGACTTCACGAAGAAGAAGGGAGACACCCATGACCCCATCCACATCAATGGCTTGGCTGCTGAACAGGTTTCCAGCTTCAAATTCCGGGGAATCCACATCTCAGAGAATCTGTCCTGGTCAACCAACATCTCCAGCCTGGTCAAGAAGGCCCCTCAGCGCCTCTTCTGTTTGAGGACACTGAAGAAGAACCACCTGTCTGCTGACATACTGGGTAACGTTTATCGCTGTGCGATAGAGCATCCTGACCATCTGTGTTACAGTCTGGTATGGGAATTGCTCTGTTGCTGACCGCAAGGCACTGCAGCAGGTGGTGAAAACCGCACAGCGCATTATAGGGACTCCACTTCCTGCCATTGAGGGTGTCCACAAGAAGAGATGTCTGCGCCAGGCACGCTGCATTCTTAGGGACCCCACTTCCTGCCATTGAGGATGTCCAGAAGAAGAGATGTCTACGCCGGGCACACAGCATTCTTAGGGACTCCTCTCATCCTGCTAACAATCCCTTCTAGCTCCTCCCCTCCAGTAGGCACTACAGGAACCTTCAAACTAAAACCAGCAGATTTAGGAACAGCCTCTTCCCCACAGCTGTCACCCGATTGAACTCAGTCCCCCGCTGAACCTTCCTATCTGCACACACAATTAACTCTCTACACTTTGTAGATCTGTTTACTACACATCTATACATCTGTATATACATAGCACATCTGGATACTTGTCCATAGTATATCATAAGAACATAAGAACTATGCAAACGAGAGGAGGCCATTCGGCCCATCGAGCTCGCTTGGGGAGAACTTAACTAATAGCTCAGAGTTGTTAAAATCATATCTAGCTCTGATTTAAAGGAACCAAAGGATTCAGCTTGCACTACGTTATCAGGAAGACTATTCCATACTCTGACTACACGCTGTGTAAAGAAGTGCTTTTATATCTGTATATTTGTCCTACTGTATAGTAATATAGAATATCTTTATATATACCGAACTTATCTGTGTATTACTAATAATTTATCCCCACCATTTACACTGCCCTTATCTTCTCACTTAACGTAGTTGTACATAATCTGTACATAACTATTCCCACCTCTGTACATGCTCTTAAATGTACAAATTGTACATACTGCACTTGCTACTATCTAATAATAATAATAATAATAATAATAATAATAATAACAACAACATTTAATTTGTAATGCACTTTACATTTTACAGAGAAAATCTCAGTGCATAGAGACAATGAGAGAACATTACTTTAAAAACAGCATTAAAAAGAGGAATAAAACATTTAAACAGTTAAGCAATCAAGAACATTGGTTAAAAAGAAACGTTTTCCGTTTTTTTTTTTTTTTTTTAAACATGTCACAGTCTGTGGAGCCCTCAGATGAAGAGGTAGGGCATTCCACAGCCGTGGGGCAGCGCAGGAAAGGGCCCCATCTCCAGTGGTGCGGGAGCGAGGCCTGGGAGGGAGGATAAGGTGCGTGTTGGTGGAGCGGAGAGTGCGTGGGTGACAGTGGGGGGTGAGGAGTTCTTTTAAGTATACAGGCGCATTACCATGCAGACATTGGAAGGTAAGCAGGGAGATTTTGTAGGTGATCCGGGCAGAAACGGGAAGCCAGTGAAGTGAACGGAGCACGGGGGTGATGTGCTCGTGTTTCCATCCGCGTCAACCTGCACACCGGGAGCAATTTGGAGTTCAGTGTCTAGCTCAAGGACAATTTGATGCGGTCAGGAGGAACCATGGCTCGAACCTGCAACCCTCCAGTTGCCGAATGATAGCACTACCTCCTGCGCCACCATCTTCATGTGTACACGTGTGCATGTATACACATTATACATGTGTAGATTCAACTTTATTGTCATTAATCTAATTTTGTCACACACAAGACTCCAGCACTTAGATAAAACAAAACTGATTCATTCCGAGCTGTCAAACACATGACACCCCAAACCGGTCCATCCACCCAGGACACCAAAGATCATTGGATAGCACGCCACAGGACACTAGTAATTGTTGGTACAGGAACTATGCGGCTCTAGGACAAGGCACGTGGAGTCAAACTCA